GCGAAAAAACTTGTTCACGGCTTATCCTCCACTCCATACTCAACTCGCCTTTCCATTTTGAATCTATACCCTCTTGAAACCCGCCGGATACGAAGTGACATCTTCCTACTCTACAACCTCTTCAACTCCGGCAGGATTGATGACTTCTTTACGCGCACTAGTAAGGATATTCTTCGCGGCCACAGTATGAAACTCTTTAAAAGGCGTGCTCGGACTCTAATCCGTCAGCGCTCTTTCACCCGCAGGGTCATTCCTCTTTGGAATAGTCTTTCCGAAGAATTAGTAAATGCCCCCTCAAAAGCCGCATTCAAACGGAAACTAGACCTGCATCTTGGCCTAATTCCTGGACGGTAAGATCTCCGCGGCCGGTGGAGTTTACTCAAATCCGTATGTTTTCCTAACTTTCTGATCTGTTGCACTGCATGCAGATACTGCACCCCTCCCCTGCCCCTTCCCCATTTCAGGTTACCTTCTTGTACAAACAGAACGCGGACACATCTAATCATCCAACATACGCTGCAGTGAAGCCTTGTCCTTACCCGGCCCATTGGGACGCAGGACTGGTAGAATCTTTGGAAATCGCCAGGTTCTGGGACCATTGGGCTTAGCCTGGCGCCCGTGTAATACTTCAAGTCTTCAAGGCTATGCGCTTTATGCTTGATTCAGAATCACGAGTCCAATAACTGTAGATCACGCAAGGCCTGTGGAGTAAATCAATGCTCAGTACCTCATCATCCACTTCTACTTATCAGACATGTGAACAGTCAACAGGTCCCCCGGAGTGATAGTCAGTGCTTCGCTACTTATGGGTTACGATAAAACATCGCGCTGGGTGTACTACCGGTCGGGATTTCGGTCCATCCTGGTCTATTCCGACTTACGCTCTCTTAGACGGAGGTTCCGACTCTATACTTATTATTAATGAAGGTGTGGTGAGAAGGTTGGATTTCGTTGGTGACTCAGCCTTTTTTCGGTATCCACCGTTATGCAAACGGTAAAAATAAGTTCACAAGTAGTGAGCTTCCGCCTCAGAGGTATGGGAGACAGCAGCCAATTAACGATATCGAAAGCCTGGTCCGTCCGTCATCTCCCCCAAATGAAGCGTTTCGCCCGGATGGTCAGTGGGGACATTTGAGAGGTATTGAGTTCCCACGTATCGATGGCGCGCGGGTGTCGGTGCTTTTAGGAATGAATACTCCGGCTGCCCATTGGGTGTTGGAGCAGCGGTACGGCGGTATAAATGAACCTTACGCCATGAGGACCCCACTGGGCTGGGTATGTATGGGGCCAGCCAAGGAAACCAACTCCCTGGAGGCCAATGTTGATCACCTGCTTGTAGAAGATTCACTGTTTAATCGTTTGGATGCCATGTGGGCCTTGGAATTTGATGAACCGAATCCCCTCGCTAGACCTGTTTCGATGGAAGACAAGGAAGCCATAAGCCTGCTCGAAGCAGATTGTCTACTGATAGGAGGCCACATCGAACTGCCGCTGCCTTGGCGAAAGGGCTCTCCATGCCTATGAAATAATAATCCGATTGCTCTCAGATGCTTACATACACTAAAGAAACGACTCTGGAGGTACCCAGAGCTGAATGAGCAATACACAGACGTAATGTCAGGTTATACCATCAAAGGGTATGCGGAGTCGGTGAGGAACCCAGACCTAGAGAGACCGGGAGAAATATGGTTTCTACCCCACCATCCCGTACTAAACCCAGTGAAGCCTGGGAAACTGAGAATAGTATTCTACTGCCCAGTGAATATCACAATACGTCTAATAATTTTCAACTGCTTTCCGGACCCGACATTACTAACAACTTATGTGGCGTACTCATGCGGTTTATAGAATACTCGTAAGCTGCGATGGCGGATATAGAGGCGATGTTCCATCAGGTGAAGTTGTCGGAACATCAACGATATTCCCTCCGTTTTTTGTGGTGTTCAACGAGAGACATGCGACGACCACCAGATACCAGATGACCGTTCACCCGTTTGGAGCAACCTCATCCCCATGCTGTGCTATTTACGTCCTGAATCGGGCACTAAGTGAAGATGCGGATCGATATCCTTATTTCGACATTACCCATTTGCAGAGATCCTTCTACGTAGACGATTGCCTCCTTAGTCTATCGTCTATCCATGATATTCAGAGCTTGGTGATACGCCTTAAACTGAAGCTACGAGCATACGGTTTCAATTTAACCAAATGGTACAGCAACTCACCAGAGGTTCTCAAGGGCTTGCTCGCCGGTGAACCAATGGAGGAAAGGGTGAACGTGGACCTAAGTCCTGCCGAACGCTCGGGCTAGAGTGAGGTAAAGCAAATGACACCTTTAGTTTTGTTGTCAAGGCTTACTCGGGGCCTGTTATTAAGCGAGCGGTGCTATCACTGGTGGAGTTTCAGAGCTTGATCAGTGGAACAAAAACTTGTTACGTGAAAACCTACGACAGGTTTTCCACCCATAATTCTCAATATTTCTGGTCTCTCCTTTCCTCTCTAACCCTCATCCACCTCCTCTCCGTGGCACATGCTGATCAGGCAGCAGTGATCACTTTTCAGTCATTTCTAGTAATTACACCAGTCGAGCTTCAAAGCATGATCAGTGGGACGAACATTTTCAGGTGAAAACCAACATAACAACAACACATTCTGATGCAGTAGGTGAGCTTATGTTGGTGCAGTGTTTGACCTTCAGCACTGGATTAGTGCTAAACATTTCTCTTATCCGAATAATTGCACAACGTTTGTTCTCCATAATTTGCCCAATTTCTTGTCTGTTCATCCATGTTGATCTCTTCGAGCTATCTCTTCCCCGTGGCACAGGCTGACGTAGCATTGATGTTCACCTATCAACTCCTCCCTAATCGCTTCACTCGTCGGGCGTCTAAGCTAGATCTGTGGAACCAAAATCTTTCAGGGAAAAACCTACATTAGACTTGTCAACCTCAATTCTTCACAATATATTTCCTTCCTGTGATTCGCTTCATCTTTTTGACCTGCGTTTTCTTTTGTGTGCGCACTTTCTTTTTGAATATATAAATGAATATTTATACATTCGGACATTAACGCGCTTAGTATATTCTCTCGCAACATGCTGTTCCCCTCTTCCCTTCTCAGCTGGGTATAAACCCAGATTGCCGAGTTTTGCCCCTTTTATTCAAGAATCGGTTGGGCCTGCCGAAGGCTTGGCTTCTACACCCACAATGAACAATTCGGCTCCAACAGTGGTTGTTGGGCGCGGTTGTGTCCTCCGTTCAGACTACATGCGTCCGCGTTCCGGACCAGGTTGAGGATCACACC